GTCTTCTGCAAGAATAGCCAGTGCTCTTAACTGCTGAGCCATCTCTCTAACCCCATGACTGTGGTTTCTTAAAGATGATACCAAGGGCAAAAAAGAAAAAGTAGTTAAATTGAACTTCATCAAAATAAAAAAATATTTGTGCATCAACAGATACCCTCAAGCAAGTAAAAATAATTAAGCCACAGATTGAAAAACATTTTTGAAAATTATAATTCTTTTTAAAAAATATTTTATGTGTATGAATATATTGCCTGTATGTGTGTAAGTGCACCCATGTCGTGCAATGCCCATGGAAGTCAGAAGAAGGCATCAGATTCCCCTGGAACTGGAGTTACGGACAGTTGTTAGCCACTATGTGGATGCTGGGGATCAAACCTGGATCCTCTGTAAGAGCAGTCTGTAAGAGCATCTCTCCAGCCTGAAAATTATAATTTTCAAGTGACCTCCTATGGAAAATATTAAAAGAACTCTCAGAAGTGAAAATATATAAATAATTTAGTTTTAAAATAGAAGAGGAATTTCAGAGAGATGGCTCAGCATGTAAAGATACTTGCAGCCAAGCCTGATACCTTGAATTTGATCCCAAGAACCAACATGGTAGAAGGAAAGAACTGACTCCTACAAGTTGTCCTCTGACCTCCACACACAGGCTGTGGCACTTGTGTCTTTTTTATATGTTCAGGGCTACCGAGGAAGCTCAGGGATTGAGGAGGGCTAAATATAGTGCAGACTATAAATATATTAGATAGAAGGGAAATAAATAGTAAAAGGGACTAATAGATAGATAGATAGATAGATGATAGATAGATAGATGATAGATAGATAACAAACCCAAGCTGCAAGAAAAGCTGATAAAGCAAATATTTGACACATTTGTCAGCTTCCATAGTGGGATCCAGGCTGAACTTTTCTCTAAGACTCATGTTGGTGAATTCCCTTTTTAATAATAATATATATATTTATTTATTTTATGTTTATGAGTGTATTGCCTGCATGTAGGTAGGTGCACCCATGTCATGGAATGCTGGCGAAGGTCAGTAGGGGGCGTTATCCCCTGGAAGTGGAGTTACAGACAGTTGTTAGCTGCCACGTTGGTGGTGGGAGCCAGGTCTTCTGCAAGAGCAGCCAGTGCTCTTAAGTGCTGGGCCATCTCTCCAGCCCTGTCTCCCTCCCTCCCTCCCTTCCTTTCTTCCTTCCTTCCTTCTTTCCTTCCTTCTTTCCTTCCTTCTTCCCTCCCTCCCTCCCTTCCTTCCATCCTTTCCTCCTTTCTTTCTTTTTTCTTTCTTTCTTTTTCTCTTTTGTTTTTTATTAAAAAAGGATTCTCTAAATGCAGAGAGCTCAGGCACACACACACAAAAATATATATTTTCACTCTAGCCTTGCTCAAAATATGGCCCCCACACCAGGATTATTAGCTTCAACTGGAAACTTCTCATAAATGCAGAATTCTAGTCATGCTCCACATCTATTAGAATCTTCTTCTTCCCCTTCCTCCTCTCCCTCCCCCTCCCCTTTTTCCTCATCTCCTCCTCCTCCTCCTCCTCCTCCTTCTTCTTCTTCCTTTTTGGTCTTTTGGAGACAGGGTCTCCCTGTAGCCTCAGCTGTCCTGGAACTCACTAAGTAGACCAGGTTGGACTTGAACCCACAGAGATCCACCTGCCTCTGCCTCCCAAGTGCTGGGATTAAAGGCATGTACAACCATACTTTTTAACAAGGCATGCAAGGCAATTCATATACATATTATTTCCAAGTGCTGTTCTACATTCTACAATATTTGGTCCTCTTTTATTTTCACAAGTCAGATACAATTACTGTTAACTTATCCACAGGGTTGGCAGATATAGCATATAAAGAGTTAAAATTGAATTTCAAGATCATTGTCAGTCTGTTTTCAGTATAAACTGTGCCCTGTATCTTATATATGAACCCCACTTTTCTGAATAAGCCTATCCACTCACTTATTCAGTAAAATAAGAAGCAAGG